GTCTAAATGTTCAGTTAAATATATATATATATATATATATATATATATATACTGTATTATGTAGTTATGTATGTCTTTGTCTCTTGACTGTAGGTTCCCAGACTGCGATGAGTCTTACCCTCGTGATGTAGATCTGCTCGTGAACGAGGACCCCACTGACCAGTCGTCCATGTCCGTTCAGCGTGACTATGGTTTCTGGTGCCCACGGGAGCTCAAAGTGGAGCCTGAGCTCGGCTACACGTTTCTAGGTGTGCGCGACTGCTCCCCTCCCTGTCCCAACATGTACTTCCGCCGCGAGGATCTCACCTTCGCCCGCTACTTCATTGGCGTTGTCTCCATCGTCTGCCTCTAGCGTAAATGTGGAAGTCCTTCAAAGATTTCTTATACTGTTGCGCCCTCTGTAGGACCAGCGACTAGTCGACGTCAAGCTTAAAGCGTCAAGGGCGAGCATTGAAGTCGACTAGTCGGTGCAACCCCTAATATATAAAAACCAAAGTGTAGTTGATTTTTTTTTTCTCGTTATGTCTTTGAGTCTCTTAACTGTGTATATATCCCACGGGAGCTCAAAGTGGAGCCTGAGCTCGGCTACACGTTTCTAGGTGTGCGCGACTGCTCCCCTCCCTGTCCCAACATGTACTTCCGCCGCACCTTCGCCACCTTCGCCCGCTACTTCATTGGCGTTGTCTCCATCGTCTGCCTCTCCGCCACGCTCTTCACCTTCCTCACCTTCCTCATCGACGTCACGCGCTTCCGCTACCCAGAGCGGCCCATCATCTTCTACGCCGTCTGCTACATGATGGTGTCGCTTGTGTTTTTCTTGGGCTTTCTGCTGGAGGATCGCGTAGCGTGTAACGCAGCCAATCCCAGCCAGTACAAAACGTCCACAGTGACTCAAGGCTCGCATAACAAGGCCTGCACGCTGCTTTTTATGGTGCTGTACTTCTTTACCATGGCGGGAAGTGTTTGGTGGGTCATCCTTACCATCACCTGGTTCTTAGCTGCTGTTCCCAAATGGGGCAGCGAAGCCATCGAGAAGAAGGCTTTGCTGTTCCATGCCAGCGCTTGGGGGATACCTGGCATGCTAACCATAACCCTGCTGGCTCTGAATAAGATCGAGGGCGATAACATCAGCGGCGTGTGTTTCGTGGGCCTGTATGACGTTCACACTCTCCGCTGGTTCGTGCTGGCGCCGCTGTGTCTGGACGTCCTGGTGGGAGTGTCGCTGCTGCTGGCCGGGATCGTAGCGCTCAACAGGGTCCGAATGGAGATTCCTCTGGAGAAGGAGAATCAGGACAAGCTGGTGAAGTTCATGATCCGGATCGGCGTGTTCTCGGTGCTGTATCTGGTGCCGCTGCTGGCCGTGGTGGGCTGTTACCTGTACGAACAGACGCACCGCTCCGTTTGGGAGACCACATGGGTGCAGGAGCGCTGCAGAGACTACCACATACCCTGCCCTTTCCAGGTAACATCAACACAAAAACATACTTTTTTACATTTAAATTCTACTTCTGTAAGTTTTATTAAATTAATCCCTCCACTTTTGGACAAATCATTTTATTTTCTAGAGGTATTTTGTAGCTATGCACAACATATCAATACATAATTTTTTTACTAGTGCTGTCAAACGATTAATCGCGATTAATCGCATCAAAAATAAACGTTTTTGTTTACATAATATATGTGTGTGTACTGTGTATATTTATTATGTATATATAAATACTCACACAAGCATGTATATATTTCAGAAAAATGTTATGTTTATATATTAAATATATTTATTTATAATATAAATTATATGAATATAAATATAGGCATGTAAATACATGTAAATATTTTCAAAATATATACTGTGTGTGTATTTATATATACATAATAAATATACACAAAGCACACACATATATTTTATGCAAACAAAAACTTTTATTTTGTATGCAATCGCGTTTTTTTTAGATTTTTTTTTTAACAATTTATTTGTATCAGTCTGTTTTTTTTTCTTTTAAAAAGTCTCTTATGCTCACAAATGCTGTTTATTTGATCAAAAATACAATCTTATACAACAATTATTATCTTAAATATTATAACAATTTAAAATAACTGTTTTCTGTAACTGTGATTTATTTCTATGATGACAAAGCTGAATTTAAAAAAAATGTATTAGAAATCTTTTGTATCATTATTAATATCTCCACTGTCACTTTTGATCAGCTTAATACATCCTTGCTGAAAAAAAGTATTAATTTCTTTAAAAACAATCTTACTGACCCAAAATATTTAAAATGGATATTTTATTGTTACTTATTTCCCATATTTTTTATTTGGAATTTTACAAAAATGTACACTTTTTTTTTGTAATTACACTTTTTGAATTTATGCAAAAAAAAATCTTACAATTACATACAATAAAGAATGAAAAAATCATTATCCTAATAGTACTCAACCTTAATTTTAAATAAATAAATACAATTTCCTGTATTTTTATAATTAGATTACCTTTGTCATCATCAAATGCTAATGTTTAATATTTAAAAACTAAATGAATAATTTAATAACATTAATAAATGTTATTTTTAGTAAATCTCAAAATGAAAATCCTTTTTTCCAAACTGTATATTTTTGTATGCCTAAATTCAGCTGTAATATTTAAAATGATTTATTTTAATTCGTTTTATTTTTAATTTATTTTAAAAAAAGAAAAGAAAAAATAAATAAATATATCAGACATTTATCAGTTATTAGCCATAACATGATTTTTTCCCCCCCGGCTTATTGGTATTGAGAATAATTCTAAGAGAAGAGACAGAAGAAGGGTTGTATATGTTATACAGGGTTGTATCTAATATATCATATCGTATGTATTTTTATATTCAAAGTTGTGGCAGCAATGTTCTGAGTTTATGATAAAATTTCTATTGGCAAGTTGAGTCTTTAAGCACTCAGATGGGATGATCTTAGTGTTTCTGGCAGCTAAGCTTATTAAACCATGTTGTGAAGAGAGGCAGATGAGGTTTATAATGTGTACCTCCTACTTTTCACATAGTTTTTCCTCCCCTGGTTCCAGCTGTTCACCTCCTCCAAGTGTTGCACCAGTATTTCTAATTATCTTTATGAAGATGGAGACATCAAATGTCGAGGCAGTAAAGTGTTTGATTTGATTTACTATAACAACTGGTTTGCTTTGACTGAATGAAGATGATTGTAGTAATCGCAACCTTCTGCAAGCCCCACATTCGCTGCAGATATCCATGTTAAGGGTTCTTTTGTGTTGTGGAGTGAATGGATGGTGAGATACGATCCGACGCAGTGATGCATGAGGCATTTTTATTACAGTGTAACCGTAGCTGCTCGGCCTCTCCCTGCACACAATCATAAATGGATCCGAGCGTCACGTGATGCAGTAATTCTCTCCCCTCCCCTGCGGCGATCTTCTCCATCTTCACCATCGCATGCTCTCTCGCTTCGGCCCTGCATTCATCTTACTCATTTTACTGCTGATTGCCTTTAGTTTCTGATAGAAGTCAGTTGGCACTATAGCAACAGTATATAGTATATAACACTATAGTATATGATTTGTTAGCATTAGGTGAGGTACCTAAAAAAAAAATCTTGATTATTTGATTATTTTCATATATTAGTATTAATAAAAAATATTGCATTATTGTTAATTGTCTTCATTTAGTGAAGACTTTAATAGTTGATGAATTTATAGCCTTTTTTATATTTGAAATTTATTCATTTTTTTGTTAAAAAAAAATAAATGCAATTGTTTTTTTATATTTTTTATTATTTTTTAAAAAAATTTTTTTTGGAATGTTTAGAATATCAAAAATCTCTCTACACACACATTCACACACATATGTGTGTGTATACACACATTTATATGAAATATTAAATATTTATGTATATTTACACTATATTAATACTGTGTGTGTGTGTAATGCATAACAATAAATCGCAATATTTATCACCATAAATTTGTGGTTGTTAGTTATTATTAATATTATTAATAATAGAATATATTTTTTAAATATCTTTATAAATTACAGTAATGTATAATGTTTTAATTAACAGTGTCGTCTCATTTTTATATAAACAGTGATTAATGTATTTAATATATTGCCTGTTGCCCAGCCCTGTGTCAGGTGCAGTCTTGCAAGATTGCTCTTCAGATACAATGCATCTCTTTTTTTCTTGGTGTTTTCATCATTGGGCTTGTTAAGTCACGCTGTGCTGCCTGTATTGTGGTCAGTCAGCCCCTGTAGCGCTGTAGAGAACAATGCCGAGGGGAGTCTCAACTGAAGGACAGACCCCCCTCCTGCTGTGATTAAAGGTGCTCAGGCCTGTCATTACCTCAGAGCACAGAGACTGACTCACAAAGGCTCAGGGCTTTGATTGGCTCTACATGAGAGACGCGCTGCGTGTCAGTCTGTGAGGTAATGCACTCAGTCTGATCACACGTGTTATTCACTCATCAGGGAGGGTTCCTGAGTGTGTGTGAAAGTCATGCACTTGAAGGATAGAGGATGTCCGTCATTATCTGTTGATGTGAAGACATCATGGCTTATGCTAAAGAAGTGAATGTGTAGCTATATTATAATCTTTAATGATTCAAAAGTGTGTCGTGAAGCAGAATTAATGCTGCTTTCATAAGTTAAGAAGGGATAATTATTAATTATAATTTTAAACTATTTTCATGGTTCATTTGCTTGGTCCAATCTCAAGATTGCACCCCCATCTTTAGCATTATACCACAAGAATTGTAACTAGGAGCCTTTAAATTTTACATCATCAATCGACGTTCACTTCAGCAGTTTAGCACAGATGGATCATATGAGCAATGTAATATTTCTTTCTTTCTTTTGCAGTTTTATGCATTTTTATTTCAAATACCCTACTTATTGTATGCCTTGAAAGCGATGCAAGTCACTTTGTATAAAAGCATCTTCCGAATGCATAAATGTAAATGCAAAGCATGTGGTGCCTAAAAACCAGTTAAATACTAACCATATTTTCTTGCAGATTTGATCACTATTCTTCATCAGTAGTAAACAGTGCATGCAAACTAAATTGTACATTCATCTTAATTAGGACCAAATTACTATGAATTATAGATGCATCCACTTTTCCTGCTATGAAACTTAGAATGAAATTTGAAATGAAATTTAGAGTTTTCCTCCTATTTATGCATTTGGCAGACGGTTTTATCCTTCTTGTAAATATGATAATCCTTACATGTCTTGAAGGCAGCACACATTAGTATTTTTCTGTGAAAATGTATCAGTGTATGTTAATGTGTGTCTTAAAGACATCAGATTTCATCCAGTGTAATCGGACGACACTCTACAGAGATTTCCCATATTCTCTTCCTCTGTTGGCTGGCGCTGTGTGAGTGAGTGTGTGAGTGAGTGTGTGAGTGTGTGTGAGTGAGTGTGCATCATCCAGGTGTTTTCAGGCCGTTGTTGTGGCTTGTGCTCAGCAGATAAAGCAGGATTGTGTGTGAACAGCGAGCTGTGCAGTCTGAACGAGCTAACGGATACACACTTTAGCTCCAGCATGTTTAAACACACACTTTCACAGGGAGAAATATGGCCATGTGCACTGCAGATTTTTGAGAGTGAAGATGAAGCAGTTTGATGAAAAGTGACAACTGTAACTTTCCATATTTTATGGAAGAGTTATCATCATTAACTAAAACTAAAAACCATTCTCATTACTTGAAATAAAATAAACATTAACTGAAATAAAATATAAAAAAACATAGACATAAATATAAATATTTAAAATAAAAACATAAATATAAAAAAACTTCATTTATTTCAGCCAAGGCAACATTTCTCATTTTAGTTGAAGTGCTAAAATAACTTAAATTAAAAACTAAAACTTAATAAAAATGTAGACAGTATAAAAAAAATTAAAAAAAATTACTAAAACTTTAAAATTAAAATGAAAACACAAAATACTAAAATAACTAAAACTTAATATAAACTGTATAGGCATTTAAAAAATCAAAAACTACTAACTTCTTCCACGGCCGCAGGCGGAAAGAGTGAGTTACAGTACCTTCCTCATTCACAGGAGAAAAGACTCACGATTCATTTCAAACTAGACATGATCAAGTGGTACTGTATTTACAAGATGATGTTTTTTGGACGAAGAACAATGAACATTGTATTGAACTGTAATGTATTTACTGCCATCAACAATTTTATTCAGAAAGCTTTCAAAAAATTCTAAAATATCAACAGCTAAGAATAATCATGCATAAAGAGGCATTGATACTTTGGGGAAAATAAATAAATAAATATTTGTAAAATAATATCTGGAGAATATTTAGTTTCCTCTAAATTGACACAAATGAAGTTTTCCCTTTGTGCTGTAATACGTAATATATAATTAATATGAAATTTAACATTTATATTATTAAACAAAATATTATATAAGGTTATGACAAATTCTATATCATATAACTAAATAAAACAATTATTATATATTTGTTTATTTATTTTAAATTTTTAGATTTAAGAATAAAATTTATAATACATTATATTATAGTCATTATTTTTATATAATTATATATATATATATATATACACACACATATATAATTATATTAAAATAACATATATTTTACATTTTTAGATTTAAGAACTCTGGATTCTAAAATTCTGTAATATATGATTAACTATGTAATAATATTAATAATGTATTTATTTTTATGTACATTTTTAGATGTAAGTGCTATAATAAAATTATATATTAATAAAATATTACATAGATAGATAGATATTTATATTTTTGTAAATGTCAATGATTTATTCTGCTTGTCTAGCAATTATCACCTTTTAACCCGAAAAAAAAATCATAATCAAATTACTAAGGAACCACTGAATGGAATAACACAAAGGTATTATTTTAAAGCTTAGAAACTTAGTTTTTTAATGAATTTAATTATTTTGATCAACTCTTAACGAGTGCCGAGTAGTCCCTCTAAAACCGAGTGTACCCCCCACGAAAAATTTTCCTAAAAATACAGAACGTTTTCTATCAAACGATATCTAACTTTTGACTCTCCTTGCTAAAGTTTTGGAGTTACGAGTCATTATTTTTGTGTATGCCACTCATAAAAAACACCTTCAGGGATGCAAAAATGCCTTCAGGGCTTAAAGGGTTAATATCTCTTTTAAATTGTAGTTTATTTACCTATATTTGAACTGATTTTACCTTGTTGTTGCAATGAAGATTCCATAAAACAAGCAGCTAAATGAGCGTGTTTCTCTGGTATCCAGCAGCGGCGCGGTGAACGAGAGCCGGCAGGTTCTGCAGGAGCCAGACTTTGCTCAGTCTCTGCTGCGAGACCCAAACACTCCCATCATCCGTAAATCCCGCGGGACGTCCACTCAGGGCACGTCCACCCACGCCTCCTCCACACACCTGGCCATGCTGGACGACGTGCGGAGCAAAGCCAGCAGCGTCCACAGCAAGATGAGCAGCTATCATGGCAGCCTGCATCGCTCCAGAGACGGCAGGTCAGGTCAACAGCAGCTCAGCACTCGGCTTCAAACTTCATGCACCTAAATATGATGATCCGCTCATGCTTATGCATACAGTATACTCATGTTAAAGTCCCCCTGTGGTCAAATATTTGATCCCTTAAAATTTATCTTTGATCATCAAAATGACATATTTAAATGTTTTTTCTTGTAAAAATAAATTTCTCATGCCTTAAAATAGCTTGAATGTAACTCTACACCCTTGCCTCATTTACTATGCGCGGATCGATGAATATGCAAATTAGTCCCGCCTCCACTCACTCACACCAGCCAGCCCAGCGCCTCCTGATCCACTGAAATGTAGTAAACGCAAAACAATGGCATACATGGATAATGATTGATAAAACTATGTTTTTACTAGCGGACAACTACAGTG